CACATCTTTCAACGTGACCCTGTCAGCCAGCGTAAAAGAAAAAAACAACATCAAAATGACATAGCTAATGACACTAATGAATGATTGATATAAGAGAGTAGTGACACATAGTATCTATGTATAAATTACGTCCATTACTATATATAGAGAGATAAAAGATAAAAATAAACTCTGTTAGAAAAGAAACTTACGTTTCATGAGAATTTTCCATCGCATAAAACTCTTTTCTAAGCCATCTTTCAACTTGCAATGGATATGGCGCATTTATAGTGTCTTGCACCAAGTGTCGCAACCCTTTGACCCACAGCTCACACTCTTTCTCACTAAGAGCTGAAGATAAATACAGATAGTATTATATAGCGATCTGTAGCAAAAGTAATCAACAACAATAGCAATAGATGCATATATGACATTTACCAGATATGGAAAGAGTTTTCAGTCTAAATTCTGATCCATAATATACCACAAAACACCTTAAATTTTCAATTCTCTTAGCATCTTCAGGCCATTTTTCAAAATCTTTAGACTGTTTTCCTATCCTAACTTCTTTGAATTCTCTTATTTCCACTGTAAATAAATATATCTATCTAAAATCGATACGTGATTCAAATATGCAACATCTGCAATTCTTAAAACTCTCGGTCTTATCCGATATCGCGACAATATACATACAACATAATATGTGTACGTGTATGCAAAAAATATTTATCAATTATACATTCGAATGTCAACCAATGATACCGATTTAATTTTGTCATGGAATAGCCCCCCCCCCTATATCCCAATAATAAAAATATTCAAATATCCCTCCTCCCCGGATATTTGAATATTTTTATTATTAAATAAAAAGTTTAACCGATATAAGTTTAATCGTCAAGTTAGAAACATAAATCTGGACATGACAAACACAAGAGATTTCTCTTGCCTTTTTTGAATCAATTACAGCTGGTATTCATGATATCAATATCCCGTCAATTTCTGTATTGTAGATATATAAGTTTAGTTTTGCAAAATATATACAATATATATATATATATATGCCTACAAAAATATTAAATGAATAGAATTAATCGAGCCAGATTTGTGGATGTAGGCAGAATCTTACCTGAACCATCGAAAGGCCGAAAAGTCGCGCTTCTCGACCAAACAATCTGTCTAGTTTCTCTCCTTATCATAAGAGTTTTCTTTTCCGGTCGTTTTCTCGGGAAGAATCTCGTCACTACGGTACCTCTTTCGAGCTGACTAATAATCTGTTCCATTTCAGGAATAATTCCATTCATTTTTGAAGAATTGTACGTTGACGCTGTAATGTAATATAATGTCTAACTTGAATGATTAAAGTCGCCTGGTAGCAAGTTGATAAATAAAAATGTTCATTCAACTGAAATTGAATGTTGGCCTAAATACTTGAGCCTCGTAGCCACAAAGATGATATTGCAGGTTGTACATACTTGCACGAACGGAGGTATATTGAATGGATTGACAGGACATATATAGAAGTGTTTAGAATCTTTTTGAGCTCTTTATTATACAGAAAGTAGAGTAACACAAATTGTGTCGAAGAGAGAGAGAGAAAGAGAGACAAGATTTACATTTTTACATCTTTCCATGTTTACATTTTCGCATTTTCGAGAGCTAAAGCTAATCGGGCTATCTTTCCGTAACCTAACCTCTACGAAATAAACATAACCTAGTCGACTCTCCTCAGGATCGTTTTTGCAAGAGAACATCAGCATGGTGTGTAGATGAAGCGATTAAATTTACAACCGACACCGAAACACGTAAGTACGTGTTCTAAAATGCTCCTTCGCTCCGGCTCGAAAGAGCCAGTTTTAACAGGCGACGGCCAACAAACGTGACGTTACATATCGTAAATTTTTCTGTTTTTTTTAGTCAGCGCGCACGACAATTTCCATCACTTTTCCATCACGATGCTTATGATGTACTTAAAGATATGTCATACCTGTCTCCGAAAACGACACACTGTTGATTATGCGATAGAAATATACGTTTCACTTATCATATGTAGGTATCGTTCCCGTAACTCACGTTTACATGAATTAGACTTTCGATTGTTTCCGGTGCGAGGTGCGAGGTGCGAGCGAGAGGATCAGTTACGTTTCATACATTCATACATACGATACATATAACGTCGTGCGGCATCCAGGCATCGTATATCGCATCGCATCAGAATGGCCGCGTTCAGCAGACACAACTGTTGAGTTCGTCTTATCAACACTCTGCGTTGGTTGGTTGGTTCTAAAAGTAAGAGCCAATCACGTTTGACTCAGCGGCTTGGTCTGCTGAACGCGCCTAATTTAATCAGAGATCAGTGCAGTGTGCACAAGATTAACAAGCGTCAATTGTCATTTATAACCAATTTATACGGTTGTTGTTTAAAAAATAATTGTCAGAATCTAACCTCTATTGGTTGATTCGACACTGCAATGACTGCAATCGTATATAAGTATTTTAGGGAAATATTAATAAAATGTTCAAATGCTTTAAAAAATATCAAAAATTTAATTGGATTGAAAGGCGAAACGTATTGTGCCGTTGATGCTGGATTAAAGGATTTTGCTGAAACATCCATCCTCAGTCCTATTACTCGTGTCCGAGTGTGGTGACTTCTCTTCATATACATGTGTTGCGCACGTAGATTATACACATTGTATATGGAACCTACAGTTTAACGCCGATTTCGAACGGCAATTTTTTAGAGAAGTTTTCTTGGCAAGACATACTCTCGGTGGTTTGCCATTGCCTGCCGAGAGGAAAACGAGCGAATAAAATTTTCTAGCTCTACCGGGAATCGAACCCGGGACCTTTGGCTCAGTAGACCAGTGCGCTGTCTACTAGGCCACGCTCGTTCTCCCTCGGGGCGAAGCCCGGCGGGGGATACTAGTCGTATATAAGTATAATACGGTTTGCGTGTTGTGTCTCTGATGCTAGGCCTACAATGCGAGTCGTAAAGTCGTGAGTCGTAAGACGTGACCACGCACAATCAAATTTGAAGAGAATAATCGACTGTGCGTGGTCATGCGTCATTCTGTCTTTATCGCTCATCAGGTGTAAAACAAGGATAGAACAAGCAAATAGCGCTAATAGCGCGCTCCCCGAATCCAGCCACAATCAAATTTGAAGAGAATAATCGACTGTGCGTGGTCACGTCTTACGACTCACGACTTTACGACTCGCATTGTAGACCTAGCATGAGGCCCAGTTTCACAAGTGTCGGTTAACTTTTAACAATCTAGATCTAGATTAACTCACTTTTCGTCTCTTTCTAAAATTAGAAAAAGATGAAAGGTAAATTAAACCGAGATTAAAGTTAATCTGCGTTGATAGAAATGGACATAAGAATTGAAAATTGGAGTTAGTTTAACGTTTAACCAATCGAAACAAAGCGGACAAAAATTACAGTTATCCGATTGGTCGAGTTAAATGTTAAACTTGAGTGGTTTGCAGTCTTCAATCTCTGCTCTGCGGTGTCGACTCAGTCGACTATCGACTGTCGAGTGTCAAGTGTCATGTGTCAAGCAGGTCGAGCTGTCCTGAGTGACGAGGTCCAGTCCAAGTGTCCAGGAGGATCGAGGATCGAGTGTCAGCTGTGTCAGTCGTCAAATAGATTTGTGAAATAATTACGACAAACTTGTGCAAAATCATCAGGTTTATCTTGTCAATCAACAATATCTCTGATCAAACATCATTAATCGTGATGATTATAATTAGTGAATAAGACACCTTTTTAAAAAACGCCTTTTAAAAAATAAAATTACCGACGAGATCCACTTTACACGGACGACCATCAAATTTCGTTTTTGATTTTGTCGATTGACATAAAATATTTCATTCTACCTAAATTCTCATTCCTTATATATTATGTGCCCATTCTCGAGTAGTATATATATATATATGTATATATATATATATATATATATATATATATATATATATATATATATAATAAGTATATCGTGGTACTGCTACTGCTACTCGAGAATTGTCAGATCGGAAAATCAGAAGTAAAAGGAAGAATAATCGGAATAAATACTCAATATCCCATTTGCTCTCGCCTACCATATATAAGTACTATATGGCATATACTATAATAATTTGCAATTACACTAGACTTTTGCACGATATATACAAACATACATATCAACGGTCTTACGGATAAAAGATAGCACGATTGTTTTGACCCGTGGGTATAAAAATATAAAAATAAATGCTCTATTGTCTATCGGTAAAAGATGACGAAACATCATTTCACGCCGTAACCAAGTACGTATATTGGCAAAACGTTTAATTCTTCCTCTTTTTTTTCCTTCCTTTTTCTTTTTTCTTTTCTTTCTTTCTTTCTTTCTTTTTTTACAGGAATAGACCTCAAGAAAATGCATGGGAGCATTGCTGAAATAAGTAATTGCGATTAACAATTAAGCAATGGGGGGGGGGGGCAATATAGGGATTTGTACAAAAATTTTTTCTTCTTAAGATTTATAATTTATTCGCGTTCGTTCGTTTGTTGCCTCAAGTTAAGGACGTGTCCGTCTCTAACGAATTTCCAAGACGACACGATACTTTTGCGCAGATTGCAGATTTTTGCTCGTGAGGAAATGACATTTCACCTTAGACTTAAACGCGCTTTTCGCACGATAAAACGACATGAAACTATCCCTTACGCCCTTACAAATTACGTTAAATTACGTCTTTCATGGCAGTAAAAAACAACTGTATAATTTATACATGCATTTACTTGTTCGCGCCATTTCAATGTCAACAAATCATCGATCAACAAGTTATCGAAACAGAATCGCTATATAATAGTGGAGATTACATTACACATATTACAGATATTATAATGGCATATAGATAATAAACTCATCTTACTGTCATTATCATCATTAAGATAGAAACTAGATAATTTCTTGGGAACAAAAAAAAATAGATATAATACAAGACTATAATCAGTGCACCATTTTGCACTGACCATTGCATAATTATTCCAAAGATGCGAGTACCATGAAGTATGACATCGAAGTTTGCACAACCTTAAAAGTATTATTGAAATTGTATTATTGTATTATTAAGATATGTATCATCTTACGATGCCGCGATTGCATATCGTGCTCTCATCGCGATGTCGCTTCTTTCTCTCACCAAGCTGAAGTTCTCCATTGAAAAAATGTAAATCTTACAGGCGCTCAAAGAAATAGGATGAAGGGCCTTTTCCATCATAAACAGAAGCATCCTTTGCGACTTGGCGGGCGTTTCGTACCAAAGGCTATTATAGCTGCAATGCTTGAATGATATACGCTAACTAAATTCCAATAAAGTAATTGTCACAAGATCATTCGTCTTACATTTTATCGCGGGTTTGAAGACTGTGATCTATCAGCTTCTGTCCCTCGAAACTGAGGCAGAATAGGTGAATCAGTTGACTAAGGACATACGCTACGTACCTCACCACTATAAAAACACTGGCGTTCCGCTGCGTGATCTCACGTGATTATATGAAAAGTATAAAACATTTTAATTAATTCCTCGTGCGTTTTCTCACAATTTTATTAAGGGGCTTCCCTAATGTGACAGGGCCTAAAAATGAATGATTTTT